AATTGAAACTGACTGTACTGTTGTAGAACTAAAACAATTTTATTGTGATTATCGATGTACGTTAAAGTCCCTAAATCACACTGTGTTAGTTATGATTCGCTGAAAGGTACGCAAATGAATTCCAAAGATGCTCGAAAACTTTGATCGATAGTTATTGATGCCTGTCTAAAATTCTCAGGGATACATCTTTTACTATAGACAAACGAAGGTATACAGAATATGAAGATATTGTAATAGATATGGATATCTGAATACACAGCATATTGGCTTCATATTTCTGATAAATTACTAGCATTGATTCGAGCACTGTTACTCTGAAATAGAACAATAAAATCGAAAATTCTCGTTACAAGTATATCATGGAAAGCAAGATTGAAACTTAAACATAGAGTATATTTCAATTTGAACGCAATTTTTCGTTCTTTTAAATATTTAAAAACCATGTTAAAATAAAGCTTGGCTTCTATAGAAGAATCAACTGATATTCATCTATCTATTCAAAAACTATGAGGAGTTTTTGACAATTTTGTAGATTCGGATGAGCGGTTGAAAAAGAGATATCAAGTCTCGCTCTCATCGGATGTGGCTGTGGCTATGAGGATCTGAGTACTGGTGTATGTTGAGTCAAGACTAGCATCCACACCCATGGTTGTGCTTTTGGATGTCTGAGTGTGACTGTGGAATCGGTGCACAGTTGCGATTACGAGTGTTCCCTTCACTGTCATCAACACTGAAGCCGTCACTCCTACACCTACATACATCTAGATGTCCCTGATACACAGATTCTTGATTTCCTCTTTTCTGATTGATTCCTTACCTGTTGTTGCGTTTTAGACTTGATTGTGCTTAGTAGTTGAATTGGAACGAAGTATGCACACTCATTTTCTCTATGTATCACATTACTTTTCTTTTAATAGGCTTCAATACTGGTTTTTCGGAATACACTACGCACTCAGATTAACAATAGGGCTGTCTTAAACAAAACAATTAAAATGGGACTCACTCCAATTGTTTGTATTGTTCAAGATTATATTCAAGGAAGATCTGTGGATGATCTACGATTACGTAAAGCCATACTTGAACTACCTGACAATAAAACCGAACAGCTTCCAGGATATTTACCTCTTGTACCAGGAATGCCAATCTTACTCACAGAAAACATCGCTACTGAGCTCAGACTCTCTAACGATACACGAGGAATCTTCCGTCAACTTGTATAAGATGAATCACCAGAAGATGTTCGATACCACGATCAGAATTTTCCAGCAAATACCAAGTTTATAACGCAACCAAAGTACGCTTTAGTAGAATTTCCTGGTTGCAAACTTGATGAAAAACTTGCTCAACCGTCTTCCAAAATAGTTCCTATAGCTGTTAGTGAACAAACATTTCTGTTTGACGTCAAAGAACTTCTTCCAGAAAATGTAGCATAAGCGACCAAAATAAATAAAAAAACAACAAAACTCACGGTCAAACGTGAAGCACTTCCGCTTATACCGGCATATAGCATGGCAACACATAAAAGTCAAGGTCAAACACTCGGTAAAATTATCGTCGATCTGGTCATGCCGCCTGACCCACCCGAATTAGTCTCGATTTACGTTCCATTATCTCGTGTAAAGAGACTTGACGATTTACTAATCATACGTCCATTTGAATTTACAACACTTCAAGTTAAACTGTCAACGGCCCAAACAGAAGAACTTAAAAGACTAGATAGAATAGTACAAAATACTCGGAAACGTTTTCAATTCATCGCTTAGAACAACAACATCTTAAGAGTGCCGTGATGTTCAGAAGAACCATCTAACTCAAAAAACTATATTGCATGCTCCAAATCTGTTCTTTTTACAATTATAGTCTATTGATCATTTGTACAGCTCACACAAAACTATATTTCGAATAAAAGCCATTAAGATAAAAAATAATGAAAAGAATTTGACCTATGTAAACGAACTGTATTGATAGAAAGTCACTGTCGTTCGTGCATTCAATCGTCATCCTAAACAGCATTTCACAGCTACCCACCACAACAGAAACTATATATGACACACATCGTAAAAGAAAAGTTTCTTAAGTAACGATTTCAGAGAAGATCAGCAATGTCAACCGAATTTTCTTACCAACATCTCCGCTAACAACACTTGCAAGTGCACCATCATGTGACCTCATCGTAACAAACCGACAAACTACACCGAGAACCAGAGGCAACCGAACGACCTTCATTTCATTAAACCAACATCCATAAACAACTAGTACAGTAGCATTCGCCTCTACATATCACTAAAACTTACAGAAAATTCCAAGAATCCTGCTTCAATAGGTTTTCCAACCATACTCAAATCTCAACTTTCATTTTGAAACACATACAAAGCGTGTATGCGTGCAGGATCCAGTGTAGTTGTCGGTGTGGGTATGCATAAGAATACATTTCATTTGATTCCGAATCCAAACATATACTCACACTCCAACCCATCCAAACGTACAGAGTACTCACACCCACACATGTTCACAGCCGCCCACACCCACACACACCACAACTGCACTCCATTCAACCCACACGCACATCATACACCACTCACGCCCACACTCACGTCGATGCACATCCACACTAACCTGAAAACTTTAGATTGGTGCAACTCCCAACTCACAAAATCTCACTGGCGCATAGCCAAACCGTGAAAACCTATGATTGATCCAAATGGTCACTCTCAAAATCTCATTGGCCCATAGCCAAACCGTGAAAACCTACGATTGATTGAAAACATGTTACCTGAAATCTGATTGGCTGGCATGCAGACGAAGCAGACATCTGATTGGTTTGGGGGGGGGGGGGGGGGGTCTATCAAGCAATCTAATAGCTAAGATTAAGTTTTGTTGCAGGATCGATGATGTTATAGGTCAAAAAAACTTTTTTTCGTTCTGTGTGAACGAACGTACGAACGAAGTTACGAACATACGAACCTTGCTCGGCGTATGACCCTCCTTTCAGTAGAGGGAATAAGGATTCCTTTGTAATAAAAAAAAAAGAAGTATGATACATTATGAGAATAGAACTAATCATGATTTAGTCTATCTTTGATAAACATGATCTCTTATTAAACTTTTGACGGACGTAACTATCTTCATCTTTCGTTATAGTTTATTAGTCAAAACAAATATCACGTTTAGTGTCTTTTATGAAGGATGTTTAGGTAACAATCGAATTTTCGACATGCAATAATTAATCAGAATTATTAAATTGATTATTTAGGATTCATCATTAGTCTTAAATATTAATGAAATCAAAAATTTGAATTAACATTTTCAAATTCATGTTAAAAAAAAACAAAATCTAAATATTTTTTTTTCTTCGTAACTTCTTCACTGAACTAAACTCAGATAAAGTCATATTGTTTATTTTCAAAAAAAAAAAAAAGAACAAAATTCCTTTTAAAAAACAAGACGAAGTCATAAGTTTGAAAGCTATCCTCTAATTCATAGTTAGAGTTAAAAAATAAACTAATGTACAAGAAATAAAATTCAATCATTTCATTGTTTATAGAAAGAGTAGTAAAAACTTTTATTTATCTTAGTAGAATTTCTTTTTCTTTTTTTTTTATCTTTATTGAAAACAGGATCTAAATACATAAATCATTTGTATCGAAGAGGTTTCAGTTGAATATTATTCATTGTAAATGTTTTTGATCTTGGATCATGAATTGTTTGTATTTCTGTTCCATTAGTTGGTATTATTTTCGGATATTTTTGTTTTATTTTTAATACTTTTGAAATAGTTGGTGTTAAAACAAGTAATTTCGAAACTTCTTTTAAATAATAATGTATTTGTTTAGGTGTATTATTTGTAAGAGATATATTTTGTAAAAAACAAATAACACGATACCAATAAAGTCTTCTTCCATGTGATTCAACAAGATGATCAAGTTCTTCAAGTATTTCATTACGATCAATTAAATCATTTGTTGAAAGACGTTCTAAAACTAATTGACGAACTTTTGAACGAAGACGTGCTGAATGAATACGAAGACGAGGATCAACACCTGTACATTCACCATGTATTGGAATAATACGACAATTATTTTGATTTAATTCATGTTTTATTATATTATCACTAACAAAAAAATAATTAAAATAAAAATTAATTCGAAAAAAAATAAAAATTTACTTCGATTTCTTTTTTTCGCGATAATCCATATCTTGTTGATGGATATTTGAAGAAGTTGGTGGAACATAATTAGCTGGTTGAGAAACAGGAGTAGATCTTGAATTTAATGGTTCATTTAATCCTTTTAATTGATGACTAACTTCATCCATAGTAGCTGGATCTAATTGTGATGGACTATAAGCTTCTTCCTATAATATTTATTGAATTAAATTGAATTAAGAATTAAACAAAATATTTTACTTCTTCTTCTTCTTCTTCTTCTTCTTCATCATCATCTTCATCATCTTTAAGTAATTCTAAAATAGCTTTTGAAGGTTGTCCACTTGATATTAATGTTGATTCTCTAAGTGATGCTTGTGGTTGTCGTATAATTCTTTGTTGTGTTTCAAATGAATTATTATCTGTTGGACTATAAGGTTCATCATCAGATAGATCCGAATCATCGACAAGACCTAAACGTTGCGATAATGATGGACGTGAACGTTTTGTTGGAGATGAATATTCTCCATTTGATGAAAGTGTATGTTTTTTTGTTGAATTCCAATTTGATTCTGTTGATGGATAAACACTCATTTATTTATTTATTTATTTTCTATCAAAATTATATTCGTTTAATCTTCCTCACAATCATATTTTGCGTTCTTTTTGACAATCAATTGTTTTTCCAATTAGAATAAACGATTGTGGCGACATCAAACATATTTATGCATTATGTTTAACCTCTATTCAAATTTTTATATAATAAATATGGTCGATGAACAATGTGTCTTTGTTCGAGCGGTAATTCATTTTTTTTTGTTTGTCTTCTTATTATTAAACAATTTATAACAATAAAATGTCGTTTGTTTCAAAAGATAAAGAAAATAATGAAAATGGTTGGTCATCAGAAGCATTACTTGAATTATCTGATACTGCTCAAGAACAATTACGTACGTTAGAAAGAATTAATTTAACTAATATTCATACAAAATGTCAACAAGAACTTGAATCATGGCATTCATCAGCTACTGCACATTTAGGTCAAATATATTCACAACGTTTAGCTGATTTAGCTCAAGTTTATACTCAAGATGTTTGTCCTGATGCGGAAAAATTTAAACAAAAAATGATTGAACAACTTAAAAATCGTATTATGCCACGAATAACTAAAATTCTCGATGATCCAACACCTGATCCAGAAAAAGTAGATAAAATGCAGGTTTGTATATTCATTTATTATGCAACTTTAATCTTTATCAACTTCAATTTTGTTACACTAAAATATTTTGAAGATTTAAGATCGTCTTATTGACTATAAGAAGAGGATGAACCTTTCCACTCCAATTTTCAAAAATTTACGTCTTTCCCCAACGTTTTGTTCTAGTTTTTGCTTACCAATTATCAAAAATTGTTCGAATCTCTCAATCCTGGCGACCTTGGGGCACCTTTGTCTACAATTTAACTTTCATTTTTTTTTGTGTAAAGATATTTGAAAGTACATGTTCTAACAAATTTATTCGATTCTTTGATGAGAACTACTCGAGTTCAAGACTGATCGAACGGGTTACACTCTAAAAAATAACAGCCAACTATGACTTGATTATTGTCTGAGAAATATGTAGAATGTCTTATGAGAGAAAATCCTCAAATGTGGTGTGACGTTTTGAATCGGATCTATAATAGTTAGTAGAGCTTGATGAGACTAGATGAAATCTAACAGAGTTTGTTCCCATACGCTGTTCTTTTCGAGTCATGACCGCGTTACTGAATTTTCGACCTGAAATTGTTCATCGATAAGTCTTATGATGTTCCAAAAATTTCAGGTCAATAGAATGTTTTCTGCAGACATTGGATATCCAAAAGAACGATCATGTGCTGCAAGGAAAGATCAGAAAAACGAATGTCTGCAACGTTCGATATCAAGAGAAAAGCAGTTTTTTGATCTGAAATTTTTAGGATATTCTAAGGACCATAAGACCTATCTATGGGCAAAATCTAGTAAAAAGGTTATAAGCCGATAAGAACAGCGTATGAAGACGAACTCTTTTAGGTTTCGTCTAGTCTCATCAAGCTCTACTAACTGGTATAGATTCGATTCAAAACATCGCATCACAGTTGAGAACGTTCCCTCGTTCGTAATCGAACACAAACAATTCATAAAGTCCTTTCAGCGCGACTGAAGGTTGAGACTAAAAAATTGCTTTAACCTTAGAAGTACAACTGAGGTAGGGATCCGGAAAAGTTTAATCAACTGAGTCCAAATTCAAAAACTTTAGACCCGATGGATTCTACCTTGGATAATCCATTGTAGTCAATTTAATCATCTCTTTTAAATATTGATATTTTTCATAATGAAACATACTAGTCGAATTTGTAGTATTGTGTACAGTGCGTGTAGTCTTTGTATAGATTAAAGATGAACTCTCAAGAAATCAATACTATTAAGAAGACTAGTCTATTTTGATTGCTAGTGGAATATGTTTAGTTTACTTTAGAAAATGTTGAATATTAAATAATGGTTTTAAAGAGTTTTCTTTTTATTATTTCTGTACATGATATGATGTTTTTTATAATTTAGAATTTATTATGTCATATAAAATCTGAATGTAATATGATGCGTGATCGTCAATGGATTCGTGTTCAATTACCTGATATAAAAAGTTTATCGATTCCAATAAAAATAACTAAAACGGCTCCATCAACTCATTTGAGTGAACATGAAAAAGATCTATTTGAAGATTTAAGTGATGATGAAAGTAAAAAAGAAGAATCACCTGTTAAAAAAAAACGTAAAACAAGTTCAATTGATATAATGGATATATTTACTATAAATCCTGAACCAATTAAAAATTATTCATTAGATACAAATTCATCAACATTAACACTTTCAAATACTCATATTCTTCTTCATGATAATCATAAATTAACTTTATTTGATTATCATAGAAAATTAAATGAATTTCAATGGAATGATAATGATTACGGTTTGTTTGTTTGTTTGTTTTTTTGCGAACTTCATATTATGTTTTTCGAAGAAAAATATAGTGAATGTACGTTTTAAGTCAAGATTTCACGGTTTGTTCCATCCCTCCTCACGGTAACCCCAAGGATAACGTACGTCTTACTCGTTTTCCAGAGTTCTTTAGCAATCGAAAAATCTACTCAACAACATTAACAATAAGACTTAGATTGTTCTAGAACATTCTAACGCCTTCTTCGAAAATTCAATGATTACAATGAGTTTGTGAATGTTCTATATAGTGTCACTTTTGATTTTTGCACACATAAAAGTTTATATTGAAGATAATCGACAGTGATGCTTTGATTTATCACAGTCGTCATATGATCATCATAAAAAACATGAACAGATCATGTTATGATTTTCGGAGATAATCAATGTAACTGTTCCTCAGCTCATTGAGATAAATAATACTGTGTTGAGAGCTGGCGTAGATATAAGAAATATGTACAATAGGTTTTTTTTTGCTAGTTAAATTAATGATTCGAATAATAATAATAATAATGTTAAATTAAGAAAAACGGAATATGAAAAAGATTAAAAACAATCGAATATCAACAAGTAAAGAACAAATTTGAATTCTAGATATTCGCCCTGCAACGGGCAATGCTGACACTATTCGCTTTTTTTTTTATTTAACAAATAATTTATTTTTGTTTTTAAGGTATTCTTGTTGATATGTGTTGGATGTCATCATTATCTGTATTTGTAATATTAACAATTCATTCTGTATATTTATATGATCCAATAAAACCACAACCAAATCTTCCAGTTAAAATAGATGCAATTCAACCATTAGATCGATCACATGTATTATCATCATTAACACCATTTGAACGTGATATATATATAAATTATCATAAAGGTGTACATATAGATCAATATCGTGTATCATTAACATCACAATGGTCATTAGAAAAACGTTATTCAAAATCTGATTGTTGTGAAACAAAAGATATTGGAGTGCGTGATGTTCGATGTGATTCACAATATATGTGTTTATCAATAATGCAACAAGATGATTTAAAATGGAGATTAGATATAATGTCACGTGATATGAAAAGAATAAGACGTGGAATTCCAATGGATGCTGGAGAAAATCAACATAAATTTTTTTCAATGCTTATACCACTTCATGATCAACGATGGTTATTTGTTAATTGGTATACAAACAAACTTTGGATGGTTGATCAACAAGGAAAACCTAAATTAATTAAAGAAAGTAAAATAAGAAATATTCGAAATATTTGTATTGCTCCAAATGGTTCTTATATGGCTATTAGAACTGAAAAACCAACAGCTCTTAAACTTTATAAACTTGATTAAATCTTATTTGTTTTTCTTTTCTCTTGTGAATACTTCCTACCTCTAACAATAATAAAAAATAATACCTCACTTTTCTTTAATTAAGATTTCTTTTTATATGAAATTTATCAATCTATTTTGTTGATATTATTCGAAAAAAAATTCTTAGGTGGAACTGCTTGTGAAAGTTATAATTTTGTCATTGCTTTTTTTGTTTTGATTTAATTCAAGGTATGTAGAGAGCAAAATCCAACAGAAGAATCTCAATCTGAAACTTTGTCTATATGTAGTTTTCGTTCATAACACGAACACTCTTAAAGTTTCTACGGAAAATAAAATGTTTTCCTCTTTAGATATTGATTATCAAAAAATCATCTTATAATCTAATAGAATGCGAAGAAATTAAATTTCTTAACAATTCAACATCATGAGATAGATAAATTTGTTTTCAGTGAGATATGTTTTGTTTTAGTGACAAATGACAACGGCGACTATATATAAGCAAAATTTAAGATCGTAGTTCAGTTGTTTGATTTTTTTAAACATATTTGGACTTAACTTGACATATTATTATAATGATTATAACCTACAACGAACGTTTTATGAATCCAAATCTATTTAGAATTTCTCCAAGACTAATTTTCTCAACATATAGAAAAAACCTCTTTGCAAGCAATGTGAATTATCATACAATAAAAGAATTAATTCATTCAAGTGATAAACATTGTCAATCATGAAGAGATCGGGGACAAGTATTTCCTTCTAATTGTCTTCATATTCTTTCGAATCTTGATAAATATGCAACCATAGGACTCATTTTATGCATCACATCAGCAGCTACAAAAATGATATACTTTATTTTTTGAACAACAAATTCTATCAAATAAAAAAACAAAACGCTAAAAAAAATTTGTTTATATTGAGATATTTTGTAGTCGCTCATACGAGGGATAAAATGAGTTGTATGATTGCAAATCTATCAAAGATTGTAAGAATATTAGAGCTATCACAAGAAAGCACTTGCAATTATCGTTAGATTTTTTTAAAGTGCCAATCACCATTTTTTGAATAACTTTCGATGAGTTCCAGCTATCGAAGTCGGATTTTCACCATTAGATCGAGCAATGCTGAGTAGAACATTCATTGCGTTTGATGAAGTTTTTCATAAGATATTTACAGATCAACATTTTTTTCGTTGCTCTTTTTTACAAGTTTTCGTACCAACCTATGTTCAAATTACACCAAAGTATAGCCAGAAGAATATTATAATTCCTATATGACTGTTCGATTTTTTTTCACGTTCACCTTGGACTCATGCTTCGAAACAGATGTTTTGAACCCTGGAAATTTTATGGATAATACGACTTACTTTTGCCTGCATTTTGATGTAATTTGAACATAAGTTGCTACGAAAATTTGCAGAAAATAGCAACGAAAAAAATATCGACTTGCAAATATCCGTGAAAAACTTCCTCAAACTCAATCAATGTTACACAGATATAAGCTCTCAGCATTGCTCTATCTAAGAGCGAAAATTCAACGTCGATAACTAGACCTGATTGAAAGTAATTTAAAAAATGGTAGTTGGCATTTTTGAAAAGAATCTAACAAAGGTAATAGTGAATAATGATATTAGTCATTACTTATTACCAGTAAAGGTAATGTAGCAGCTCTATTGACAATTTCAAAAACTTTCAATTCTCTCGAATTCATCAGTACTTATTATTTTAGTTTGAAAACCTTAATCTATTCAACATAAATGTCTTTCGTTTTTCATTTTGAATACAAGCATATACCGATGGTTGTTATTTTAAAAGAAATTTTATCCATTTGAATGTATACTATTTTGCATAAAACTATGAATCAGTATCCTTAGTTGAAGAAAAAGTAGTAACAAAAATTAATGGCTAAGAAGGTTTAATAGGAATAGAATTAGAATGAAAATGAGACAAAGGAATTGATCATGACTTTGTAATTGCTGATGAGTGAAGACAAATATACAATGACATTTTGTTGAATATAGAGTTGTTTAAGATGACGAGAACTTTATCTTTTTGTTTGTTTTACATTGTATATCTGCTGTTCATTGCAAAAAAGTTTAGCTCAATGAAAGAATGATATGGACTTTTCGAAAACAACTTTAGTGGAAACACACAACATGTTTCATGAATTTTATATTTTATTCAAAATTCGGTCCATGGACATTCATCACAGCATAAAATCAAGCCGGTCTATATATGGTTTTCTAGTCAAACAAATTTTAGCTTATTAAGACCTCTGGTAGAGAATTGTGGAGTTTATGATTAATTAATGAACTTAACTAATATGCATTAGTTCTGCAACTTGACAACTACTCATGAGTGTAGCCAGATTTTGATCACATTCATCGAGTCAGATCGGATTTGAGTTTGACTGAAGTGTCTTGGATCGAATGTAAATTCGAAAAATACAATCCTCCAAGACTCTATCATCTAATCATAAGATTCATAGGTGAAGGAATTGAATTTTCTGGTTTAGTAGGTTTTTACTAACTGAAATGTTTTAATTTTTTTGGAGAAAAAATGCAAGTTTACATTAAAAACAAGTTTTCAAACTTCTCTTTGTCAAAAATAAAAAAAAGTATTTTAATACGTTAAAATATATCGTTTCTGCGCAAAAACTTTTTTTTTCACTCTTTATCTGTGTAGATAATGACCTTAAGGGGACCCCCCCCCCCCTCAGAAACGATTTTCCACTTTTGACGCTCTTTTCATGCTGAAATTTTCAGGGATGACTGATCTTGGTGAGATATACTTCTGGTAAAAATTTCAGCTCGATTGGTCATACTAGACAAGATTTCCAGCTGATTCATGAGTCATTTTTGGCCTTCAGGAGAATTGGTATAACTGCGTCATAAGAAGAGGTAGAAAGCTCGGGCTAGTTTCAAATTAAAATACATGTCAGTATGCAACTTTTGTCCGAACAGAATTTTGATATTCCGTCCTATTTGTTTTTTATGAGCATTTTAGTGCGAGGGTCTCAAAATTAGCATAAAAAATGGTAGTCCAACGACAGTAAATTCTACTTTTCTCAGCCCAGGAACCGACTTTCAAAAATCCGTTCGGACAAAAGTTTACTCTGATCAAGACCTTTAAAACAAAAAACAAATATTGGTAATAGCTCGAAAAATGAGGGAGGAGTTCCAATTTTTCTGATTGGAAATCATGTTCTGAGAAAAACATTAAAAAAGTTTTAGAAGTGGTTTTTTCGGTCAAATGCAAAAAAACTCATATTAAAATGGCATATTTTCTAAAACTATTTTAAGGCGCGTAAAAGATGCAGTAAAACTAACGCCATCTGACATGCGGGTTAATATCAAAATGTTCTATTCAATGAAAATTGAAGTAGTAACTGAGTTTTTCTAAAACTGAAATTTCTCGGAAAATATGGTAAGGAAGTTAAAGTCTGATTTGAGAAGTCTTTGAAAAACGGATCATTTTCCAAAAATCTATATATATTCTGAAAGAGGAAGCTTCGCTCTATCTTCCTGTGGTAAAAACTCAATTTCGATATTGTTTGGAAAAAATCGATTTTCTGAGGGGGGGGGGGGTCCCCTTAAACATTACAAATTAGAAAAAGCTACTAAATATATGACAAATGGATAGATTGTAAGTTAATTTTTCGCTTCTTTTATAATGAATTCTTAAAAAATAACAAAATATTATTTAGATAGTAATGTCAACAAATCATTATTTAATGCAAGCACGTATTTAACAGCTTATAACATTAAAGAAAGACAAACAAAAAAATACAACCAAAGATGAAATCTTGATACTTCATACTTATTAAAGATAAAAAACAATCATATAGCTTTAGCATCACCAGTCGATGATGAAATGATATTTTGTGTAGCTCCAAGTCCATCACACCAATTCTATAGAAATAAAAAACAATTAAATATTATATTTTTCTTGTTTAATTTAATACTTTATTTGATGATCCATCAACAACTTTTGTGCAGTAGTGTATAAATATATAGCTGTTATTAAACCTTCAATAGTACCAAATTTTTTATGAACCACTTTAGCAAGTGGTGATAAACAATTTGTTGTATATGATGTAGCTCAAATGATTTTTTCGTTTCCTGTATATTTATCTTCATCGGCTTCCATAACAAACATTGTAGCATCAGCTGATAGTGCTGCAATTATAACCTTTTTTAGCACCGGCATGTAAATATGATTGATATTTGACAAGTATTGGTAATACACCAGTTGATTCAACAATACGTTCAGCAGCTAAAAAAAGAAAGAAAATCAATAAATCACTCATCATTCAAGTTCAAATGAAAAAACATATCGAGTTCACTTCATGGAATGTTTGATGGGTCTTTTCTAAAAATGAAAACAAATGAAACAATGAAATTTTTTTTGTTTCAAATATTTCCTCATTCTACACACTGATTTATTTTTTATTAACAACAAGTTTTCTGTCTTTAGTTGAAACTTTACCCTTGAATCATCCATATGTTGAATTGTACTTAACACATTCGATCCGATGGAACCCACCGGTGGATCTCACTATATTTCAACAAAAAACTTAGTAGAAAAACACTTTCTTTTCTTTTTTTCTTAAGTAGGAGGTTACACATAACGTATCATCTGCTCTGTCTTCAATATATTTGGAATCATTTACTGCATAGCGTGATGCTTCTCGTTAGAATTCGACATTTGAATTTGATTCTATTTTATTGCAGGATTGTAAATCTACGTCATCATCAGTAATTTCTTCCTCAGAACTTAACGATCCAAATCCCATTTGGGAAAAATCATTGTCCAAACTACTCATTCCACTCAGTGAGCTATCACTGTCGCTATCTTCTACATTAGTTTCATCAATCGACATATAATTCATAGCAAAATTTATTTGAAAAGCAACCCAAATATAAGTACCTCACCGTCATTAAAAGAGTTTATATAGCTCAAAACGCATCAATGGTACATATTTCGAATCGGAGTCACGTGACTCGAAGGAATTGCATAGTAGATTGCAATAAAATTAGAATATGATAGAGAGCATCGTAGGAATAGTCGAATAACCATAATTTTTTCTCTCTATCTTCTCTCTTCTTCTTTCACTTTTTTTCGAATAAAAATAGTTGTTTTTAGACACATGAGGGAAAAAGAAATCGAAATTTCACCTATTTCTATCTCATTTCAACTGCGCAATACGCGAGAGAAAGAGAATAACAAAGTTGATAAATTATAGAGTTCGTTGGAAAGAAAATTGTTCATTTGCTGTAATAAACAGAAAAGAGAAAACAGTGAGCCAGCACAGAATGAAAAGGTCACCAAGTGCATTTGTCAAAACACGACTGCACACGAAAATGAATCTGTTAGAGATATTCTCTAACTAAATCGAATCGGGTCGAATGTGTTACATATATAAACCATCTAATCAGGAGGAATAAATGGATCTGTTTTATTAGACATATAAACAAATAAAAATGCGAAAACTTCGGATTTAAATCCGAGAGTTATGTGTACTTCAAAAAGTGAATGAGACAGATGAGTCGTTCTAGAACGTGTGGACATCAAAATTATACTGGGGAACCTACCCTCTAAACTGTTGATTTCTATTGAGTATTGCCAAACCAATAGGACTTGGGACCGAATACAGCTCAAATTTGAACTCTTCCCCTTGATTTACCCTAAGAAAGTCGTTTTTCCTATAACTTGATTTCTACTGGTCACTGCTCAACCAATAGTATTTCGATGGAAGTGGAATACAGATTCGAATTCTCCATCTCAGAAAACCTCGAAGTATCATCACTGTGATCGGAAGATAGAGCTCTATTTGTGGATCAATTAGATCGTGGACAAAAATATAACCTAGTTCTCTTTAATTATCTTTGTGATAGATGAGCCAACCTTCTTGTTTCTTTATGTTTTATATACCATTTTGTAGCTCTTGAAATTCTCTATCGAATGGTATATAATAGTTGGGGTTTTAGTTGACTATGATAGGAAAAGTCTTTTACGAAAGTGGGGATGGGTCGATCTTTCCATAGGGAAGGTGCAGGGAAAAATTAGTATTTTTGCAATAACTCAGGAAGGGCTCGGCCAATCCTTCTCATCTTCGAACTCGACCGAGATATTGTTAAGACTGAACTGTGTAGAAAATTTCATCGCGATCGGACTCTCCTTTCGAAAGTTATCGAATAAACGGACGGACGGCCGGACACACTGACCGATTTTAGTAGTGTACTCACTTTTTGAGTACACAAAAACATCTAATACAAATCCATTGATACCAACTTTAGTGTTTGATAAAGCACTTGAACTAATAAAAAAAAGAAAGAATTCGAACTGAATTATGAGAGAAGAAAAAGTAAGAGAAAAAGTACAATCAGGTTGACATTCTTATACAGATAAATGGTGGAGTGAATAAAGCAGTTACTTACTAGCTGTATAGATCATCTTTTGATATAAGTACTATGCCTTCATGAAATCTTTGTATTTCATCATGTTGAACAATTGGTAAAAGATTTTCAATATTTTTTGTTTGTAGGTACCATAAATAATGTGACGATGAACTTGATGTTAAATTGATTTCCATTATTGTGAGATCAAATTTAGAAGATGGTGATGACCAATAAAGATCAATTGTTGCATCCTTTGATATACAACAATATTATAAATATACATTGGGATCAGATATGGAACTGGTCATCGGCTGATCTGATCCGGTCTGACCCTTTTAGACTGGTACCAATACTGGTCATCAAAAGTTCAGACCGATTCCATCTATCATTGGGATAATCCAATGCTTTACCAGTTTTAAAACCTGTAAATCAATTTGATGTCAATGACTGTTTGGAAACTATATTTGTTGGCTAGAAGAACTTACTATCGTCTTCTTCTTCGTCAGATAAATTTTTTGATACTGATTTAAGTATTATTACTCAATGTAACCGTTGTTGATATAACAACACAGAATCATTGTTGTTCAATGATGTGGTTATTATTTTATTTTCATTTGAATTAAGCAAACTGCATGGTGCTTCAATTAGAGCAGCTGCTCCCACATCATCACCATCAATAACCAATGGAAAAGAGCTGAGACCTGGATGAGTAAAAGAACCAGATGATATTGAACTAATTTGGAAAAGATGTGCCAGATTTTCACATATGCTGTTTAATAGATGTTCAAGCACTTCCTGCGCTGACATATTTCATTCATCATATCAAATGAATAATGTAGAAGGTAACATACTGAACATATCCCCATTGTAAAATGCAAAGGGAAAAACATACACGGCCCTAATGGGTCGATGTAAATAATTCTTTTGCTTATACCAAACCCATTCATCTTAACTTTCACAAGGTCACTTAAAACTTTAGTCGGATTTCCCATCATGCACCAAAATTTTAAACAAATAAACACCTCGTTTCAATAAATGAAGGCGTGAAAATCAGTTTTTACCGGTCTTGAGAGAAGAAACGTAATCAGTAAAACAAACCACAATCTGTGAATGAAGATTGCTTGTGGATATGATAAGACAAGGTTTTAATAACTAAACAGGTAGAAATAACTATTGACTCTCTATTGATAAAGAATCAGCAATTGATTATAATTGTTGGAAACATACTAATAGAAAAAGATATCTTGTAAATAAATAAAGAAGATCGGTAGGGAAAAAACATAACCTATAAAGTAGTAACATATCTACACAGAAGAAGACAACGTTTTGAAAGATAAACAGATGGAAATAAATAAAAAATAACTATTAATAAAGAATGACCAATTGTTAATAAAGGACGAAAACATCCCAATATAAAAAGACATCTTCTAATATAATGAAGAAGACCGGTAGAAAATAAAACACACCTTTTAAGTTAATAATGCGTCTAGACACAAGAAGACAAGATTTTATTAAATAAACAGATGGAAATAACTATTGACTATATGTTGATAAAGAATCACAAGTTGTTAATAACCGAAGAAAGTGTGCTAATACGAAAAGATATCTTGTAAATAAATAAAGAAGACTGGTTGAAAAAAAATACAACTTGGAAATGAGGACTACTTGTAAATATAAAACAACGTCTAAATAAAGAAATAGAATCATTAAAAAAATTAAAACAACTTATAAAGAAATGTTGTAAACCGAAAAAGAAATAAGTTGAGGAGTTAAAATTTATCGAAAGAAGAATAATCAATGCGATGTTTAGGTATTGAATTAATTTATGCATCGTTCGTATCTGTTGTCGAGTAAAGAATGAATTATGTAAAGCTGCATAAACATCTAATATTTTCCTTTCCATAATGCAGAATAAATGTGTTTTTGATTGGTTAAAATAAAGAAGTCTTAATTCTCGAATAATGTCATAAAGGAAAGAAATAAAATTGACCAGCTGCATCGCTTGGATTTGATTCTTTCGAACTATGGTCTGAAGGGATGGTCCATTTCAGAAAATGTAATTTATCGAGAAAATCTCGAAGTTGATTTTTAGCATAGAAAGATGCTGCGAAATTTCCTCTTCGGACAGCAGAAGACAATAAGCTGACCAGTAGAAAAAACTTAAGATTTTAAGCAGAAAAGAAACGTTTTAGGTTAAAAATGGTATTTTATACAGCACAAGAGATATGGAATCAATAAAGAAATAAGACTTCTCTTTATCCAAAATATATAGAAATAGATATATAAACTGAGAATCAGTTCAGTAAAATGAAAACAGAACAGCGTAAAATTGGTTTAGTAGAGAAGAAAAATGGATTTCACTACTAGGAATAATGTGCGAATGCAAAGAAAAAAATCCCTCTGACGCATCTCTATGCATGCAGCATAGCTTATCAAATCCAGCATAAAATTCCATTGTAAAGAACATTCTTCACTGGACTTGTTTAGGTCAATATAATGTAGGTATATGCATGTACGTATACATGTATACATTCATCATCATAAAAAAATAGAATTGAAGTGAATTCCAAAAATCTTTCTGATAAAAAACTCCTCCCTGGTATATGCTCTAATTTGAAACCACCTCGAGCTCTGTATTTCTTCTAATAACGAAGTTATAGGAATTCTTCTGGAGACTATAAATGGATCATGGATAAGCTGGAAGCTCGCTCTAATTTGAGATATCAGACTGAAATGTTTATCAGAACTGGTCATTCTTGAAAATTTTAACCTAAACTGAGCATCCTAAGTGAAAAATGTTTTGCGAGAAGGCTCCTTAAGTAGAGTGAATTTGAATTCTTTTGTTTTGTAGCAAATTGAAATGTTTATATTCGACTTGATTTTTGATAGACATTTCTAAAATTATTCATTATTTCCTGAGAGACTTTAGCTAATTGTTCATCACTGTTGTTAGTTAATTTTAAATAAACTTTTTATTAGTGTTCTCTATTTTGTTTCATTTCATCCATACGAAAAACGGAAAGCATAGAAAACAGAATATCATCTTTGAAATCACAACAATAGCTAAGATTATTTGAAGAAAAATATGTTGTGGTGGGAGTAAATAGATCAATATCTCTTTGAAATGAAATAACTGTTAAATCAAGTTTATTAAGTACACAATGTACGAAACCTAATAATTTATATCTTCCTCTGTGTTATGTTTATTCTTGTTTGTCTTTTTTTAAAGATGCTAATTCTTGTTTTTTTTCCTCTAGGCCTCTTATACAGCAAACGATCCTTTATCTCTTTTTTCGCACGATCCGTAACAAGGAAGCGAAGAAATGAAGCACTAAACCTCATTTCTCACTTACATGAGTTGTTATTATATGTAATATAAATATTTCATTTTCATAGAACATTTGCTTTTCACTTTTTTAATAGTTTGTGATAATTTTCAAAATAATCAGGTTAAGCTGAATAAATATGATAATGACAAACACAGATAACTAATATTCTAGTTTGAAATAATGTTCAACAAATTAATTTTCAATTATCACAATCAGAAATTTAGATGACAAGATGAACATCTTGCTTATGTCACTATGTGCACCATAGTATAAATAAGGATAATCTATATTATATCAGCAGTACCAACCATCCAAAACTTGAAAGTTGAACAATAATGAAAGTAGAGTTCGAGAAATTCAAGAGCATTGATGGGATTCAACATTGAGGATGACTCAAAATACTGTGATACACAAACCTACTGAAAGATTTACAAAGATTGACACATATAATCTCAAGTCAAGAGTTCTAAACACTGAATATCATTTGATTTTCTTGAATCTTTTGGATTTCGGAGCATTCAAGAAATTGAAGGCATTATACAATGAAGAAGTCTGTACCGTTCTCATACACTATCGTGTTGATGAATTTACATATATTGCCACATACACTCTTGACATGAATATTTCCAACACTCAAGCTAACTTGGTTTTCCTGAATTTATTGAATTTCCAATTTCTGGGTGGTGTGTATAAAACGGATCAGGCAAAACTTCTGCATTAGTTTTGTTTATGAATACAGCAATGTGATGGAATGTGGTAGAGATTTTATTTTCTTTTTATTAGAATAATAAAATGTCTAGTACAAAAATAAATAAAAGAATTTGATGGAAAATGTTTGTCAAATACTACAAAAACTTTAGAACAAAAGCCATCGAGAAACTCTTCTACATTTTTTTTGAATTTGGAAAAGATTTCATCTAATTAGACCGATTGTATTTTTATTCGTCTAATCAGAGTTTTACAGTATAAGAGTAGAGCACTATGGCGATACAAAAAAAGAAATTCTCTACATGTTTTATAATGGTTGAAATGAATGCTTTTTTCTTGGATTACCAGAATTTCACCAATGACTTCCGTCAAATGGCGAGTGTCCAGTTGGTGAAAGTCTTACTGACGAAATTTGCAAAGTCCGCTTTTTTATATCGTCTAGTATCAACGTTTTTCATCGCCATAGATCACAGTCAAAAACGTAAAGTGTATTTAGAAAGAGAACCTGCTAGAAACTATATATTTTATATGAAAAGGAAAGCTTATTGGGTCCTCTATCACATGACATTATTTGAAATAGAACACAGATTCTCTGCAAAATACTCAGTCAAAAATACTTTTTCGTGTTGTGATGGGTGTAGGTTGCAGACTCTGTTCATTTTTCACACGCACACCGACGTACACTACATCCAAATCCCAGGCCCACACCCTAGTCAGGATCATTCTTGTGATGAATATTATTGCTGGATATATATAATCAGAATGGTTACACTCATGATAATAATCTGTTAAATGTTACTCAACCTATTGTTGATGCAAAGGAGGCCTTAAACTATCGAATTTTATGCACATACTATCGGTGTCATGTAATATCTATGATTTGCACATCAGCACGATCTCACTATTCCTGATGATTGTAATCACTTGCGCTCACTATTACTACCGCTGTTGAAATAACACAAAGTTCAAAGACCGGAACTAGATCAATAATACGATAATGTTGACGATGTCGCGTATTATTTTTTTCTGTTATATATGTAGAAAGAATAAATTTCATGTCATATCACCAATATACTCGCAAAAACACGCCAAAAAGATGAGTGTAGTACCGTAAAGTCCTGCAGTGGCTACGATTTAAGACGCTTTGTTCGATCTGTCATACAAATTGTGTTTAAAATAATATAAATACAATGTTTGCTCTATAATGAAATTCTTATCGACTAAAACGCAAGGGGGAAAAAGCAAGACTTCGTACTTCACGTACTTCACCGTACTTCACTTGTACTTCACTTGTACTTCAGCTGTACTTCACTATACTTCACGCGTACTTCACCGTACTTCACTCGTACTTCACTGTACTTCAATCGTACTTCACTGTACTTCAATCGTACTTCAAATTGTTTTTGAAGTAGATGAAGTCTTGCTTTTTCCCCCTTGCTAAAACGACAGTCTAAAATATAATTAGTCTTAAGAGGAATGAAGAATACAGTATTTTATAAGAATTTCAAGTACGAAGTCATTCTTATAGTAATTGTATATATTGGTCTATCTATTGATGAGGGTCAGGACCTAAAATCTAGTCACAATTTGGCAGATATTCACGTCAAATTAGATAAGTTTTCTCTTTTTTCCTCCGCAGAAAGTAAATAATTATCAGAGGCCTTTTAATCTTGGTATAGGCGTATCTCTCTTCAAATTTCTTGCAATAGTAGCTCAGATGAAGACAAATTTTTTGTGAAAGTTTGGCTTTGCAGCAATGTTCCATGATGGAAATATGATTAGATTACCAAAATTCACTGCTAGTAAAAAAGTCAAAATTTTGATAAAAACAAAGATGAAGGACTTCAGTTTTCTCGTATTTCTCAAGTATTTTAACCAGTATCAGAAAATATTCAAAGAAGAATAGAAATGTAGAGTATTCGACGCTCTAAGCAACTACATATGATGCAATATTTTTCGTTTGATGAAATCTTAAAAAGGATGATCCTTTTTCAAATCATACTAGACAAATTTGTCCTATTTTTAAATTAATCTAATGTAGAGATATTTTCATTACAATTCTTCTTCAAAAAGAAATATCGTTCATTGAATTTGAACAAGTTTTGAAAAACCGACGGTGTTCTTAGTATTCTAGTATAATTATTCAAACATATTCATTAAATTAATAATTATCATCCAATCATCACTTGATATTTCTAGTAATGTAAGTTTTTCTTTTTGTTTTGATGCAATTGGTAATTTTCCTTTGCTTTCGAACGGATTAAGCATTATTGTTTTATGTCTCAAAAGATATTTTAAGGTCAAATATGTGCAATTTTACTTGCAGATGCAATCATTAATTAATTGACGTGTTATTTTTAGTTTTTTTTCATTATTGATAAGCATTATTAAAATTTGTGAACATCAAATGGTTTTTGTTAATGAACAATCCATCTGAACCGTTTCGGCTAAATTTTCTTTTTTTATAACAATATTTTGTTTATTATTATCTTCATCAACTTCCATATTTTCAACATCAGTAGTTAAGACTTTTTTATCCCATGTATTCATTATCAAATGTTGATTTTTCCTATCTTCATTTTCATTATCTAAGGAAGAAAATATCTGAGTATGAACATTAGATTTAGATGAAATCAGATTGACTCACTTTAGAGGTCTGTAATCACATAGTATTTGAACTGTGGTGTAATTCGAGTGTAATATAATCACTATTCCCCTGCCTATTCTTGTCAGTCGCTAATAAAATATTACTTTCAGTCAGTTCATTTTCAACTTCATTTTATGTATTTTTATATCGATCGAGTCTTCTACGTCAGATTCATTCTTATTTGATTCATTTTCGTCTTTAATTTTTTTCCATAATGCAAGACCATTACATATTGTTAAATGTTAGCGGTGTATAGTACATCACAACTGATCAATATCAGCAAACATGTCAAAAGCTTCCTTCGTGCCACTGACTTTATCACACGTCACAGATGTAACTTTTTGTTCAATACTCAGTTCTTGAAGACAGTTATAAGTATCAATAACTATTTTTAATGCAGAATGATGCTTATCATATGATTGAAACTATAATATTGTTGATTTTGAAGCTATATCATCGATATAATGGACAGCAATACCAAAAAAACAATTTTAATGACGATCAGACTATAAGTGTGCAGTTAAAGTTATATATTTCGCATTTTTCAAATGTATTATGTAATACGTGATACCTGAACTGCATGCAATCGTTTTAATTCACGTTGAACTGTATTTCAATGTGTAGGTATATACTCTAAACAAAAGAATAAAACTATAGTGATGTATTTGGAACTGTGGATTTTGGCAAGCAGAGAATAGCCCGAATGTAAGAAATATCACCACAAACCATCAATACTCTCCATTATTTACTTCATTAAAAATAATGACTACAATGAACTTTGGAAAATATTTAAGAAAACAAGTGGAATTGTAAAAAATGAATTAGTATTTGTGCTAGACAAAGAACAAGAAAAAAACATAGTGATTTTAGTTAATTTATGTTTTTTGCTTTTTTTTATATGTTTCTGGAACTAGAACGAAATATCTACTTCGATAACTTGTTACTTCTGAGTTTTAGAGAAGTTTGCTTCTGCTTATTCTAATATGAATTTATTGTGCTTTTTTTTATTTCTCTAGACATATAAGTAAATTATGTGTTTTTCTTTGATCTGTTAAGTGAGTATTTTCATTTATTTATTTATATCTTATGTGAAATCTGTACTTCAACTCAGATAAACACAAAATAAATTGATACAAGAAAAAACTAATTACTCTAAAACTGGCTAACGATATCGATACAGCAAAAATAAATAAAAAATATTGATTTTGGTTGTGAAGTATTCATAAAAATAGATAAGAAAGTTGGAGAGATTATAAACCAAAAAATACAAAATAATTTAAGAAAAATTTTGTACGTTTGATTGGTTAATTACATGCCTGGTTTTAATATAACATGCCTATCAAAAAAATCCTAAGAAACTAAGAAGACACTGAGGTTTTATTGTGAAGATAAATATAATTGTATCAACTATTCAACTATTATTAAGCAGATGTAAAATACTAGCATACAATAAAGACTACCAGAATGAAAATCCTCATCAAATTTACCCTTGACAACAAAAATAATAACATATCTAAATACAGCAATTGTATATAAAAAAAAACCAAATAAAAGACATGTTTTTAACTGATGTTGTATATGTAAAATGATTGATAGGCATTTATTATAGCCTTAATTACTGGACATCGTTGAGTTTGATCACATTTGTATACCTAAAAATACATTAGTTATGAGAGGAGAAAAAATGTTTAACCCATGAAAAGATTAACTAATGTTT